AAGGTAACTTCATCAGAAAGTGCAAGCCTTAGTCACCTGCTCCCACAGGCTTGAGCCCCAAGTTATATTAACAAACTCCAAGAGTTACATTTACCTTAACAAGTCAGCCGGCACATTTCATTTTGCCATTTTAAAAGTGTCTCTAAATTGGACACATTATCTATTATTATAATATTATCAATTAAAAATACAACAGTCATAATGCTGGTGATTCTCTTAGGAGTTCAAGCTGTGTGCTAAGGCTGTAACAAGTCAAAAAGGCAAAATTATAACAGTGGGAAAGAGAGGTGGGGAGAAAGGGAAGAGGGTAGGGAGGCATTCGGGGAAGAGAGGCATGAGCAATGTCTTCAGCAGCAAACCTCATACAATGTTTCATACATTTGTACATCCTCTATCCATTTGGCTAAAGGAGTGGATCACGTACCTGTATCCCATCATGCAGCTGTAGCGGTTCTGTCCAAGGCATCACACTAGTCTACTGGCTAGACTGGCTAAATCATGCTATATTCAAAACCTGCAATTTCACTGCTCCACTCCCCAAAGGGACTTCACTCTGATGTGCATGTGCTTAAACGGTGTTATTACACGCTAAAGTGTTAGTTACACAGTTGTTGTTTTGATGTAATTTGAAGTCATGTTTGAAGATACAAATGGGAAGTATAATTCACAAGAAAATGAAGACATAACCATTAATTTGATCCTCTACTTAATATCCCCAAATTATCAATTGTTTGCAGTGTGCCTGATTTTAAACACTAGTTTGTACCTGGGAAATTCTGAATTTCCGTTTAAAGAATTTATCTAATGTTCTCCGTATACCATAAATTTATAACCATTCACGGGCCATTATAATACATGTAATTTTGTCTTTCAACCAACCAGCAAAACTGGTTCCCAACTAGCATTTCCAACATACAATATAAAAGCATTTGAGCATTTACATACACCTACGTTTTTGTTTTTTTCAAGCTCGCTGTTGTGTGCATCAATTCAGCACATACAGCCCAGTGAATCTTTCAAATGGTTCCAGTCCACTTATGTTTCTTTTCAATTATCGCCCAAGTAGAAAACAGGCAAGATGACGATCTGGTGTGCTAATTAAGTAAAAAAGGATGTAAAAGTAGTATTACGCCAGACAAAAGTTTTAGCTACAAAAGTCAGCCTACAGCCAAGTGTATGTGTGAGTGGTGTGTGAAGCCCTTGAACCCTGAGGGAAGCGGGAGTGAAAGTCCCCAGAGTAGCATCTCTAGATTGCTGTGACTCTGGACAGAAACAGTCCCTGGTCCCCATTCTCTCATTGCCAAGGTGTAAACAGACAGCAGAGTAATACTGTCTGGCACCTTTACAAAGATGCTTTCAGCATCTTTGACTCTGACTCACATTGGAAAATAAGACCTTGAATGAAGTAATATGTTTTCAGCTCCTGGCCAAGGAAAGAATGGGAAACACAGATCATATCCCATAAGATGAATGCATCAGGGACTGCTGTATCCTGTGACATGCATATGTGCCTTACTAGCATGTGGAAAGCATGCAGGAAATGTAGCTTAAGTCCTGGCAACAAGGAGAAGTACACAGATAACTGTTCACAGTAATGAAACAGTTTTGGGAACATGGCGGACAAGTGCAGTGAGGCCGTCAGGTCATGCTGAAGTTTCTTTGCTTCGGTGTTTTTGTTTGGGCGCTTGGAACATATTATGTGGGCTCACTGGCAACTTTATTAGGTACACATGTGAAATCTAACATAACCTAATACAACAGCTCTGCTGTAAACTCTGCTTTTACAAGGCTTCTTTATTTTTTAAGTAAACATGAGTTGTCACGTTCTGGCCTGTAAACATGTTCAGTCTTTAACCCTCTTTGCATGTAATCAAGTGGACAAATGGAGTAAGATGAAGAATTGAAATAAAAGTAGACTCTATGGCAGAGCTGTTGTATTGGTCTGCATTTAGCATCACAGGTGTACCTAATAACAGCAGCCCATGAGTGTGTATACCACAATGTAGACTTCTGACAAATGGAAGGGGAGCAATGGAAGACAGAAGACACATACACGCACACACGCACACACACAAAGACAATGTATTTTACTTCTGACTTCACAAATACCTAGATTCTGGTTTAGGATGACAAGGTGTCCATTTCAGGGCATTCCTAACTGAAGATTCAACATAACAGCGACCCTGATCAACTGTCTGTGTGGGCTTGATTGGCTACTACTGCCTACAAACCACTAATATTCTGTAAACAGAAGCTATCAGGGTGCTACGTTGAATATGAAGGATGTCCCACAGAAAGCAACATTCTGATATCCACCTAAAGCCTCCTTATTCAGCAACAGTGCAAGGAAAAAGATTACTGCTGGCTCAAGAGGTGAACCTTTGAGCAATAACTAACAGAGAGTGCAGTATCCTGTCAGAGTGGGGCACATAAAAGTGGACAAAACAAATACTTTTTTGCTTGAAAAAGCCAACTTTGTACACAAGTGCACACCCCTCCCCATACCCTGCTTTATATTGTAACATATAGATATAAAAGCAATGTGAAATAACATGTTAAGGATGATAAATCTGTAAAGCCGTACAAACTGATTTATTATCCTAAAACAAAAAGGCACCCATCTGATCCTTGCAATTTTGTTGAACAGGTCTCAGGGGATTAGAGTTTCCTCTACAGACATCACCATTTAACTATGGATATCTATTACCGCACAAGACTCTGGCACGGCACTACCATCTAGTGGGAACTGAAAATTATGACAATGCCGCGTATTAATCCTAGACTTGTCTCCCAGTAAAGCGAGTTAAACAAAATGGCCCAACGACAGTCTGTGTTTGAAAGGCACAAGGCTCGTGCAGTTCTGAAAAGAACCAGTGATCTCTGAAACATCAGCCCAGGCTGGGCCAGGGCCCGGAGTTTATAAAGGGGCTGAGATCACAGCAAAGGGGGGTAAAAGGGGAGACCAGATTGTTTTGATTGTGTTTTGGCAACGTAGCTTGACAGGATTTGAAGAACATCCCAGAAGGACGTTTTCTGCTCTCTGCCACACAAAACTACCTTTGACAGAAAGCAGATCATTTTAAATAGCAGTAGATCTTTCCCCCGTGTGTTAGTTCCTCTAAATCTGTTTTTAATGTACGACATCTCAGATTTTTATTCTTCTGTTCTTTCTCTGAGCAAATACACTATAAAGAGGTTAATCACATGTAATGACACAAGACTCGCAGCAGATTGGCTTTTAAATGCCAAATACGTGTTTGGTTTGATGATCAAAGAGTGAGCAAAAACTGCACACCTCATCGGCCGCATCCAATCGTGTAGGGCTTTATTTAATTGTCATCTCCAACAAATCAGATCATCAGCCGGCTGAGCCTCTGAGGAGCAGAGGCCTGATGCTGGTGCGAGTTCAATATCTGCTGTTTTGGATTCAGTTTGTTCTGAGCACGGTGTAGAAATGGGAGGCGAGGAGAGGGATGCAGAAGCTACACCGGTAACATGCAACATAGATACAATATACTATTTGCTGAAAAGGAAGAGAAATAAAAAAATAATAAAAAAAACACTTGCACTGCACTCTGGGTAATTAGACACCCATTTTCATTTTACTCACAATAAATCACTACCAGTGAGTAGTTAAAATAAAGTGGTGTTTTCCAATGGCAGCAGGGAAGGAAATACATCAAAAGTGTGTCACTGGTCATAAAGAAACATGGGAAAAAACAACAGAAGAGAACAAAACATGACAGAACAGAACATACAGTTGGACAGAATCCCATTACAGTAATGGAACTGTCATCTTTTTAATGCAACTCTCTTGTCAGCAACAAATGTAATAGGATAAAACATAACGCCATCAGCTGAGTCTCAGACATGAAGATAGTAGGAAAGCAAACAGAGGTAAATAGTTGTGGTAAATAAAACTAGAGTGTGAAAAACCTGTTGATTCTATTGAGTTGACAGAGCAGAAAGCGTCTGAATAATTGAAATGGCACAGACAAAAGAAGGAACTGGAGGGTACCTATTTTAAAACCAGGCTATGTCTGTAACGGACTGCTCACCGCAACAGCCTGTGACCTTTTATGGAAACATAGAATATTAACCTGAATTATTTATCCATCAGCTAACACATTCTGACAAGTATCGCCTGCACATAGGTCAGGATGTATTTGCGTGCATTTCCTGCCTTAATGGTAATGTTGTATCTGCATAAAACATTCACTGATTTGATGTGGGTGTTTGCATAGCTAAATTAGAAAATTAACAGCTAGCAACCCTATCCATAACATTTGTGACCTATAAAACAATTGAGAAGAATGAAACAGCCTTAAAATATTTCACTGAGAGCATTCATATGTAAGTAAGAGGATATGTTTCCTAATTCCTCCACCAAGCTGAGGCTGAGGCACAGCATGTGATCAGTACTCAGAAACTACCAGGCTGAATTTCATTAAACTAGGTGAAGCAGGTAAAGCACTGGCAGAACCTGAACCCATCCTTTATAATTGCAACATAGGGCACTTGGTGGATCTGCTCTACTTTCTAATGTTTAAAATGCGATACAGAAACAAGCCTGGTTTAGACTCTTATGCTTTCTACTTACATGTTAGCACTTTGCATTTCATTCACTGCAATACAGTCTCAGTTTGTGCAAATAAAGTGGTGATTCAGTGGTTAAAGCAAGATGAATAGACATTTAAAGATGGCAACAGCTACATTTTGACAAAGAAACAAAAGTGCTTTGACTTATGATCATACTATAATGGGGGTTATGGAAGCTCAAATGGGACCAATATCAAACACTTTCTTAAGAGTATAATGGCAATATAATGTTTAAAACACAGATTCAGAGTACAAGAAGAACAACAACACAATGAAAGGCATAATAACCATGTGCACACCTATGAATAAAGAGAAAGACGAGACCCATAGGTTGGTCTTTGGAGTGAGAAGGAAGGGAAGGAAGGGTGCCAGTGGGGCAAAATAAAGGCACAGCTACTCACGTCGCTTGCAGCCGCACTTCTTGATCCGTTTGGGGTCTGTGATGTCATCATGACAAGCTTTGCAGTAGAAAAATGCTCTAAAAGTGACACAGTAAGCATGTTTAGCGCTCCTATTCATTTGTCAACTGACACGGTTAGTGACCCCGCCGTTTGGCAGGATGGCCCAATTACCTTTTTACTTCTTTGGCATCACTAGCGATAAAAAATCCCAGTGTTCCCTCCTGCAGCTTGACATGGTTGCCCGGGTTGATGAGAATGCTGGGTAATCAAAGACATACAGACAAATAATGCTCATTAACATCTGGACATACACAAAATTCATGCACACAACATGCTAATCAAGAGGAATGGTACACACACTTGTTGAAGCCCTAAAATTGAATCTGGACTTTGCCGGGCTTCCTTTTTTGCATCATTTTAAACACATTATCCTTCCCTTTGTTACGTGTGTCTTGTAAGTTACCACAAACACACTTGCTCCTTCTGATTTGAGGCAATTTACTGATGCGATACTCACACGGATGGACAAAAATGTACAACAGTAATGATCGCACATTGAATTTTAATTCTTTTCTCTACGAAGTGGCATTGGATTGCCCCGGGGGTGGAAGAGAAGGACAGAGAGATACAAGTAGAGGGACGAGGGCAGAAAGAATTAAAATTATGGCCATGGAGTGGTTTTAGTCTCAGCACTCAAATGCAGTCATCTAGTCAGAACAGATGTTATGATGTCCACTGAGACACGGCTGTCGTACAGAGAATGTCCAGTAGGTGTATCTCAGTTAGTACTTGACAGTGGAATGCAAGGGAATGAACAGCTCTTTCTGTTTATTATACTGAGCTAATTCTTACAGTTGAGTCTGCTCTAGACTCTGCTAGGGGAAATAAGACTGGTCCAAATGTGTTGCTCCATTACAAATACTTGTAATGCATGTCTAGTTAAGTACAAACTGCTTTAATCATTTTCATTATATTTTGATTTAAAAGAAATGTGTTACTGTAATAAATAATAATTACTCGCTTCTTTTGTGATAAAGTGGGATTTGGTTTAATAGTCAAGGGTACTTTAAGTGATTGGCTGTATCATTCCCCATTAATTAGACTAAGACAAAAAGTAGACGCCACACACAAATATGCACACACGCACACGCACACACACCCCGGTCATTAATGGTTACCTGTGGGCAACAATCATCAATGAAGTGAGTGTGAAGTAAGATATCAAAACACTGTACCCACAAACCTTTAAGGGTCACTCTTTCAAAATACAAGCCCAGATGAAAGATGATCTTGATTCTTTTTTTGTCTCATTTGCTGCTCTGTTTACATTTTAATCTTTTGTAAATTTGCAACATTGATAAACGAGAAAAGCTCAACTGATTGTGTGTTACCAACTTGATTCACACTTACGCGTGTAATAACTATTCACGGCATTTTAGTCATTCATTTTGAAAGAGTATGTGAGGTCTAGATTCGGGGGAGAAGGGAACAAGTATATTATCGCACAACATCTTTCCTCTGAGCTCTGGAAAAAGGTTACATTAGGGAGGAAATTTAAAAAAAAAAACTATTAAGGGAGCAATTGAATCCATATACATATTGGGATGTGATCAAATTGCACCAGTCATGCAGATCAGAATTTTCTTTCCATACTGCAAGAAGTAAAATAGCACCTAACATACACTCAGATTGAATGGCCCCCAGAGAAGTTAACAGGCATTATACCTGGCATGCTTTTTTAGTCAAAAATAAAACAAAGAAACCAATCAAATCAAGACAGTTCCACAAACATTGCTGCCCAAATCTGAGATTTTACAGGTGTAACTATCCAAGACATTTTTCTTGAGTCGTGTGTGCAAACTGGTGAATAAAAGCCAAGAAGACGCATCAAAACCTCATATTGTGAGCAACAAGGCAAGCATCAAACACTTTATGTGATAGTGTCGTAGCATGCAGTTACCAAACAGTATGAGGAGGACAATAATAAAACAGAAAGGCATAGCCACTGCAGTACAGGTATAGGGACAGGTACGTAGATGCAGACGGTTGCAGTAACTTCTGTGCAGTTGGATTGTTTCTCAAACACCAAACTGACAGGAAGTGACCTCACTTAAGAACATCTACTCGAGAGACGCACGAGCATGACTGTACACGGTGGCTGAGACGCACAAAACTCCGCACTCGCACACGCACACACACTCAAAACACAAACTCTCCCTTCCGAGGTGATTGCACATACGCAGACGCGCATACATGCACAGATGGATACACATTTGGGAATGAGGACATGAGAGGGTGATGGGATGCAAGAGTGAAATGTGGGCCACATAAATAAAACTTCAGTTTGGATAAACCCAATGCTATCCAAAATCAACAGCTCCATGCCTTTTCTAGTGTCTTAAAAAAATCATGAAAAAACAAAGATTGGTGAGGTGCTGCTGAGGTGCTGCTGGTATAATAAAACCATGAAAAACAACAACAAAAAACATGCTGCTATATCAATCACCGCCTACAGCAGTGGCGTGTAATCAGTCATTTTATTTAAAGATTATATCCAAAGTTGTAGGATATCAGTGCCTATCAACACCATATCTGATGTCTGAGATATGCATACAGAAACTCCTCACTGTACTGTTCTGGTGAAGACTTTTAAACACCGATGAGTGGAAAACGTGGCTCGTCAAAGCTAAGAAACAGTAGGGTAACGACTGAGCGACACTGAAAAAGAACTGAAAGTGTGAGAGAAAGAAACTAAAGGAGCAAAGGAGTTTGCTTGAGGACAAAAATGAAAAGATCAAATAAGAGGTAGATATGGAGAGGGTGAGTGTTTGGCCTTGGTACAGCGACAACAGCAAAGACAAAAAGAAAAAAGAAAAGAAAACAGCACTTCTACAAACATGTCCAATTTATCTATCCTCTCTCTGCCTGCAAAGAAGTTAGTGCATTAAGCACAAGGGACACCATAAAAAAGGAGTTAGAAAAAGAGGCCTGTGAGATAGTGTTTGGAAAAATATCCTTGGGGAAACTCCCAAAGTCAGAAGCTTTAAAGTGGTGACGATTGGGTGGAACTTTGGAAGTAAGATAAGGTAGAGGGCATACCGCTTTCGGCTTCTGCAAACAACAAGAAAAAATCTCAAATCAAACAGTTATCATGAATATAAAAGAAGAGGAGAATATAGCTGTTGCTAATGCTTCTCTGCCCATTTACAAGCTATGCTTTCATTATATGGCAGCGTGTGATGCAACTTTGTCTTTGTCTGAGGGCCTTGCAACTCAAAGTCATAAAAATGAAGAAAAAACAGTGTTTGAAGTTATTCATCTTTTACAAAAAGTACATAGAGGGCAGAGAATATGTTTAATAAAAGGTTTGAAAGTATAAATAAAATATTCTAGGGTGTCACTATAAAATGTACAAAAAGAAAAAACGTAAAAGAAAAAGCTCAACTACCTTGAAAGTGATTGGACCACGGACACAATTTAGCCCACTGGGTTATATAAAGTGTATTCAATTAGTATCAACTAGAATTTAAATCATCTTTAATTAATATTAAATCAACCATGCAACCTCGTTAGTACACAAACATTTGACACAGGTGAATGGGGAAGGGTGAGTGGGATTTGGCAAATTGAGACTACTGAAAAAATGCATTTTGTGTCGTTATTGGTGATAAAACCAGCACTCATGTAGAGTTAGTGATAATCATAAAGACAGAGCAGGAGCACAGTAAAAAGTGCAGGAGACACATTATGTGAAATTTAAACGTGAAGCAATTGTTATTTAGGTGTGAAGTTTGTCTCTGAAAAAGGACCGTGAACATGAAGTTAATCCAGTGCAGTACCTAGTACTTCTCTGAAACCAATCACAGTTTAACCACATTTCAAGTTTTTTTTTTTGTCCTGCATACCTGCAAGGTTTACCTAAAAGCTTGTGACCCGAATCCTTGGCCAATATCAATCCCATTTATTTGCTTTTTAAAGAGGATAATAGCTCAGAAAAAAATAAATACTGAATTATTTATTATAGGGAGTACCTCATGGTGACACAATAATGCTCAAGTGTTCACCAAATTGATCTGAAAAATGAATATCAACTGCATAACAAGCTGCAAAGAGGACTTGAGAGGAAAAGAAAAATCGAGATATCTTATTAGAAGATCTACTTTTAGCAAAGTACAGTGCAGTTCACTGTTATCACAGCTGTATCAGATGCTCCGGAAAGATCCGCTATACCAACCTGCTCTCTCTCTGCTCAGACTTGAATTCAATGGCAATAAGCAACAGCTTCAGTTTCACGTAACACAGCCTGTAAAACAAGTGCACTCATTAGAGAAGAGCAGGATATAAGCAGATGACTGATGTGTTCAAAAACCGTTAAAATCCACAGCCTTACGTCCCAACACTCCTCTTTTTTGTCATTCTTACTTTGCATTATATATATTTTTAAGCTACCTACCATTGAGAGTGGTCGTGTTGATCAAAGAGTGATACTTACTCGCAGACCATGGGGAAGGAGAGGCCTACAAAGGCACTGGACAAATACTCTGTGTACATCTCATTAGCCACTCCTTCAAGGTAATACTTCTGCCATGTGTCCTCCTCGATCTGATTAAAAAAAAAATGAAACGGGGAAATGTCACATGTGTTGGTTAAGAAAAAAAGTAAAAAAAAAAAAAAAAAGAACAGTTTTCCTTCCAAAAGCAGCCTAATCTGGTCAGCAGATGTCCCACTGCACAACATCAGCCTGGTCATTATAAGCTGATCTATCATCTTTATGACATGAGAACAGTTTTTTGATAGAAGCAAGCACCTCTTCAATTCTAAGCCGCAGAGAACACTGAACAGATTCCACATGACATGTCACACAATAAAATATGATGTGCCAGAATGACTGAAAACACACTAATGGAAGCCCGTCTCTGGACAGAGATGTCAATTTTTTTTTAGGGAATGCACTGTTTGACAGACCTAGTCCATGTGTCAGCAGAGAACCTTCTTATTTAGACTATAATCCCTTAATAAATCACCTCATGTGCAAAAAATGCAATGTGAGAAATCATTCGTCAATAGTCCACTCTGTTACCTCAATAAAGGACCTCATGGAGAAGAGGTTGGCTAGCATTGTCGACAGACCCTGGGCCAGACAACTCTGCGCAATGAAGCCTGCCTTCAGCTCTGCCAAGCAGATAGCATCATCACCCTCCTTCCAGTTCCAGCTTGGAATATTCAGTAGATGGGCCTTCATCACATGAAAGTTAGAGAGGTCAGAAACACAGAAAACTGTATATATGAGTCACATTTCTTTTGGAACAGATAACATTAATACAACCCTCATATCTGCTTGAACTGGGAACTGGGTTAGCATAAAAACTGGAAACTGGGGTAAGCTAGCTTGGCTTTATGCGGTGGTATTGAAATCCAACATTCAGGATAACAAAAGTCCACTAATTAACATGATCTACCTCAATTAGTTCAAAGCTGAAATGCAAACATGTGAATGCAAATTAAATTAAACAGTTACAATAAACAGCCAGTTAGCTTAGCATACAATAAAATAAATAAAAACTAACTAGCTTATCCTAGAAATGTAGAGCTGTTCCTTTCCTAAAGTCAGCTAACTACTAGAAAAGTTAGCATCCTGGGTAAATCCCTTACAATGTACAAGTCTCAGTTAGTGTACCAGTTTCCATACAAGGGCATCATTCACAGCAATTAAAAAATATATATACATATTTGCATATCTCCTTGCCATGTCATATGACAGATGCAGTGATTCAGACACACAATTATTAAATATAAAAGACACATTTTCAAAAGCTCACATTTTCTCCTGTAATACTATTTACCATGCTAAGTGCTGCTCTATTAATTCTTCATTTAAAAAAGTGAGGTCCATTCTTCAGGAGCATGCACAGCATGTAAGCAGCTGAGTGAGTGGATGCTTTAAAAAGTCACTTATATGTCAAAGTTACCATGAATCCTTAAAAGCACCACATAGCTCTCAAGCTGACAGGATTGCCATTTTACTGCAGCCATAATCTTTCTGTGAGGAAAGGTTGGAGAGCGGCCAAGATGAAGTGAAGCAAACATACACTACACAATGCAGGGCACTGAGACGTCTCACCTTATTGTGATACTGCAGCATCTGTGTGATTATTCTGATCTTGGGGTGATAGTTCTTGATGGAAATGACCCTTTGAAAAACAGGCAGATAAAGTGAGCAAGGAAACATAACACCTCCGCAAGCCAGTTGTTACTGATTGTCCAGAAGAGAGAATACCTCATGATGTTGGAGGCATCTTCAGCATCAGGATCTGCACAATACTTGTTGGCTAGGATTAAGCAGGCATCTGCTGACTCGATCTATGTGTAGAGTACCAAAGAAACAAATATGACAACATTAAAGTGCACGTCTGTATTTAATAAAAAAGTATCCAATATACCAGATGGTTTAAATCTGCTCAACAACAACAAAAAAAGTATTTTCTTTCTTTCTTCTGTCCTGATATATTTTGGCTAAAAAATTGAAATGGATATCATTAGATTATCATTCTTCTGCATTTTTTCTTTACTCTCTTTGTCAGCTGAATTTATACAGTAATAAGTTTACAGCCTGCTAATCAGTGACGCACACAACTGCAGCTAATCTGTGAAAAATGTTTCTACTCTTAAGTTCAACAACAGCTGTCAAAAATGTTAAGGATTTTCATTGCTCCAGGAGTCTCGCCACCAGCCGGTACCTTCACTCGGGCCAGATCGTGAGGGTTGAGAACCGATCCCTGGTAGAACTCTACTTGGGTAAAATGGCGTTTGAACAAGGCTTCCAGCTCAAGATTAGGGGAAATACTAAAAAAAAGAAGATGGGTTAGCACATAAATATAGCTCCTATGCAATAGTTCGTTTGTTGCTAAGCTACAAAGGGTGAGAAAGACAAAATTAACTTACTTATGGAGAAAAACAATTTCTACATTGACATCATCCCTGTCCTTGTGTAGGAAGTCTTTGAGGAAGTTGGAGACACTTTCGAGGGTAATATGACCACAGACCACAATGTGCCTGAAAGAGGGAGGGGGGTGAAGAAATCATCTTGAGTGGGCAACATAAATCACTGCAGACACTGGCATGTCTCCCAGAGATAATCAGTCAAACCAAAGCACTCTAACATCTAACTCAAATAAAGACTGAAAAAAATATATATACATGTCAAGAAATGTCTTTTCGAAGCAAACAACTAACCGAATTATCATTTTTGCCATAAAAGTGAATATTTTCCTCGATGCAATGAAAGTGGTTAAATTCTGCACGACAAGTACAATCAAACACTCAACTTGCGACCACTTGAAAAAAAAAATCTAAGATATAATCACACAGCCCACAGTGGTTGGACTGTCATCCGTTCTCAATAAAAAAAATTGTCCCTTCAGCCAAACCGCCCCTTTGTGAGCTGAATAGATGTTGACAAAGACATGTACATCAATATGCTTGTGCTTTTACACAGAGCATTACTAAAACTCTCAAAATGATTTGGAGGCCTGTGGTTGACAAGAATTGTAAACAGGGCCTCGGAGTTTTTGACAGGTCTCTGGCAAGATTCGGTAGTGCATTACAGCAGAGGGATCTGTCAGAAGCTGTACGGGGCTGATTACAGCCGTAAGGGAGTGAGAAGGGTTTGGAACGGTTTGAGGTTTGAGGTTGTGTCCCTGTTTATCGTCTGACGACAATATAAAGCGATCAAGTTCAGGTCAGCTTCATATATATGCCAACTTTATGGACACTCGGGGCAGTTTGGATGGACATTGTCCCAGCAAATAAACTTGTGGTGCTTCTGTAACTCGAATATTTTAACATCCTAAATCTAAGAATTCAAATATTGGTGTTAATAAAAAAAACATTGCCTTTATTTTACATATTTCCATTGCATTTTATCCTGTTATATTAGGTTATCTTACTACTTTATCTCGTTTTTTCTTCCTAATAAAGTCATAGTCATGGCTGTTGGTATTAAAGGGACTTTAAGCACGAGCATTCAATAATTCTGATTTAATTCAATCACGCTAATGTGGATTTAAAACCCTTCATAAGATTAATTTGCACTATGGTAAGCTGAGCTACTCTGCTGGACTTACTGCTAAATGTCATTTGTGAAGTCTTATTGCCAAGCCTTGCACAGTAAAACCCAGACCTAATACTGACATAGATTAGTGTGGACACTCGGCAGACACCCTAATTACCCTATGGAGACCTGTAAGGCAATCTGTGTAATGACAATGGCCTTATCCACCACTTGATGTGCCAAGAGACAATTGAACCACTTTAGTTTTTGAGTGCCTGGGTACTGGACAGCTTTGCACTTAACACAAGGTGTATTGAGTTACTTTTTCCAAAAATAAAGAAAAGAAATTGGTGGTCATATTTGTTTGAAGTCCAAGTTCTTATCATCCATGTACATTTGTAGGAGAGATTTCTATTATCAATCTATTATCAAGCGCTTACACACAAGAAGGGAGTCGTGGTGAACAGACTGGCCTTTAAAGTTGATGTCTAAAGCTGTATAAAGCATTATTGAAACCTGAATCCGTTTGGCAGGTTTAAAGGGAACAAAGATATTTATTGATGTTAGATGAGAACCATAGTCCAGATCATTGAGTGTTCTTCTGCCCTGTACCTGAACTGATGTGGACTTGGCAAAGTAATGCGATGGGCATATTGAGGGAATGACAGTTTGTGGATGTTACAGGATATAATGTTCTTCGCAGATGTTGCGTCTGTCCTTTAAGAGAATCTAATGAGCGGTCGTGATTGCATGGTTGGCCAGAGCTGAGCAAAGGGCCGTGTGGTCTTACAAGCTGATGAGCTGGGATGTCTGTGGGCAGCCAGCAGTATCTGGCACAAGAAGTCTCTCATTTTATGAAATGTTAAAAAAAAAAATTTTAAAAACCCACACACACACACAATCAGTCATGTTTTCCTATTCAAGTATCCCGATGCTCGTCCGAGGGTAGAGGAAGTTTAAAGATTTATAAGGCAAATTATTTGATTCATGTGGGTTCAATGGAGGTTGTGGCTCTTAAGCACAAACTTGGAAGTGTAAATGCATCTCCGTGACATGTGCATTTTTCTAAATAGGTTTTTAATCAGGGAAGCAAACTTTTCTTCCACATCTTGAACACGCCACTAATTTAGGTCCTTATATTTAAGATGGAAATATTCACTTGATATCCTTAAAGGTTTCCTACTTCTACTTAGTTTCCCTCTCTATCTCTGTGCCAAAAAAGGCATCAAGCTGAATACCAAGATCATAAGCTAGTTAAACAGGACATGGGGGGAAGATATTAAAGATAATTCAACCATTTATAATTACCCAAAAACTAAATATCTCCCTTTTTAGTCAACCTGATTGTGCAGTACAGTTTTAGCTAGACATATACAGAAAGAATCAAAGGAAAACAAATAAACATAGCATTTAGAGGGAACAGGTTTCTTTCTTTTAACAAGAAACCATAGACAACAACTCAGAAACTAAAAAAAGGTGTGGCACAGAGTCACATTAATCAAATCCAATGGGTTTTACAGAGCATGCACACAAGAACATGCAGCCAGGAAACATCTCAGGATGTCACTGGGGATACACTTAATACACAGCGAACAAACACAGAGCTCAAACGTCAGCAACAGAGGTCACTCACTTGGTACTGCTCTAATCCTTAGGGTGATGAAACTTACTGCAAGAATCATCTTTATGAAAATGTTGCAGTTTCAAAATCTGTGTTCCCTGTTTTGGTGTATCACCTTTCAGGGAACTTAAAGAAAGGGAGGAATAAACACCATCTCCTTTGTTTAATGCCAAGAATCAGCTAGGTGAAATGTTACCAACACTAGCCAATCAAATTAAGCTCACAGACATAACGTACTTAGTGCATTTTGTCATTGTGTAATTATATGAAATTGTGTTGGAACCTCAACTAGGTGCATGTTTTGTGAATATGCAAATACGTGTTAATTCCTGACACTGACAGTCTCCGAGTCTGCACGCTTCAAGTTTGTAGCCTCGATGGAGGACTTTCAAAGTTGTGTGTCAGAGTTCAGCCAGGGTTGAAGCCAGTTTTCATGCCAAGTCCTCTCTTGAAGTTGGGGCTAATGGAAACCATAGAGTCATAATGGAAACCACAGAGCCCCGAGTGCAGTGGGCGCCAACAGAACGCAACACTTGTCATTATTATATCAGCGCACACAGGCTGAGAGCTGTCATTACGCTCACGGGTGTATGCTACACTACACAGAGTACTATAAGCAATGCTAGCATGAAACAGAAATCCAGTTCAGATCCAATCCAACTTTTCACTTCCAAATAAGTTTTGAAGGCCTGGTTCAAATGACAGCAGCCAGGCCCAGAGATGAAATGAGGGCTACATTTAATAAACTTCACTATGTATCATGACTTCATTGTTTGTGAGCTCTGTAATCAAGCAGATACGTGTAATCCCCTAATCTTATTTCCAAGATTTGGAGGATTGTGGGCTGATAGCTGCGAAGTGATAATGCACTGAAGCCCAATGAAAATCCTAAATCCACATGACAAACCACTTTTTCATTTGCATTACGTCCTATAAGCACATATCCAAATGAGAATGTAAAAGAATGTAGCTACTCTTGAGTCTTTGATGAATATCTTCCGATTGTTACAATATGTTTGCACTCTAACCAGAAGGAGACATGGAAGGGGGGTGCGGATGGAGAAAATAAAGTGTGTTGGAGAAACTATCCACGATTTTGACAAGGGCTTCTCTCAGCACCCATCTGTGAGCCTGGGTTGAGGTCACTGGCCAAACATAACATTTCATCAATCTTATCTCAATGACAGGCAAACGTTACTGCACAAAGGCTTTTTTCCCCCTAACGTCTTGTTCTACTGCTGACTCCTCAGAATCTGCTCCGCTGAACAGAATGACTGAAACTGGTGGGGGTGAGATTGGAAAGAGAAACAGAGTGAGAAAGAGTAGACAGCAGATAGTAGCAGATGCTGGCTGCCGTACAAAATTAGAAGAAAAGAGACGGAGGACAATGAAAAGAGCACTTTCCCTGTTCTGTATACGCTCCTTTTGGATTAATTTAAATCTGTGTGCTGAATATTTCAAGGTTTGAGCCACAAGGAGGGAAGAGGAGAAGAGAACTTCACAATAAGTATTGTGGCACGTTTGTACAAACACTATAATAACCACAGTGTCACATATACTTCACAGTGTACTGGAGCCTCGGCTGCGAGAGGGCAGTCGCACATTTACATAAATATGAGAGCCTCCAGAGATAAAGTCCACCATCACCACCACCACACACACATAAGAGCCAGGCGGGCATCAACGAACCAAGCAGGCAAAGCAAGCCAAAAGCAATTGAAAGCCTCCAATGGGAACGAGGCATCCAGCATTCAGGGTGTGGGAGCTGACTGAAGATCAGGGCCAGAGTAATGTCAAGCATTGATGATGCGATGCGCTAGCAATGACAGACAACAGAAGGATGACTTTATCATCCATTTAGCAATTAATGACAAAGCCACAAGACTGCAGGTCATAGAGAACATGCCCGATATGATGCAGTTAAGGAAAAAAGTAATTCCACAAAGCATGCAAAACGAATTCAAGCAGGGAAAGAAATGCATATAATAATTTAAAAAAAAGCAAAAGTAAAGAGAAAAACAAAAAAACAAGAAAAGAAATTGTATCCTGCAATGCTCATTGAGATTGATGATTCTTAAAAAAAAAGACCACCAATAATAATGCACTTGCAGATGTTTAAATCTTTCTATTTTCTTGTGAGAAAATGCTTTAAAAGCGGATAGTAGGGATTTCATGACTGTTTTGTTGCTTTTTGATTTGGATCCTAATTCATCCCTGTAGGCTAGCCTGTATTGATGAGACACACTGGGCACGTTACATTAAATAGAAGCACCACAGGTTAGTTTCCTGTTAGGCTAAAGTGTAATAGTCATGAAAGCTCTATTTTCCAAATTAAATTAAAGCGCAACACAGGATGTTTCAAGGAGGACACAGAAAGAAAATGAAAAGCACACAAATGACTTTAGGAAAGCTTTGAATGGAGGATAGATAAAGGCAGACAGAGGAAGAAGACAGAAAGAGAAAGACTGAAAGAGAGAATTAAAGGGCATGGACATGTGTGTCCTATTGGCCAAGGTCTCCAGTCACGCAGTGTGACTTGACATAATGTACCTTTACTTTAACTGCGTTTAAACTTTACCATTCTAAAAAAGTCAAGTTAACTAACCCCCAGTAACTATCAACTTCTGGAGGTGTACCTTAGTCACACAACCACACCTTGTCTGGATTTCAACTTACTTTCTGCCTCGTGTCGAGTTATAACTCCCTCCGAATTTCTTCCGATTAAGGATGAGAGCAGCAATTTCTGGCACGTAGCGAGCAAACATGGCCTACATGCATGGAATAGAAAAAAAAAAGAAAAAAGCATGCAGAGAGGGTTCTACCGCACACAGAAAAACAGCAGAACCATCTGGAATACTTACTTTCTCCCATTAACCGCACTATAGGAACCACCATATTTCTTGCGGTTTCCTATTAACTCTATGATTTCAGGGACGTAGCTGGCAAACATGGCCTAAGGAGAAGATAGAAGACAGAAGAAGAGACTAAAAAAGAGACTAGTATGGCGCAGAGTGGGTTGTGGAGCGATTGGTGCGTGAATCCAGATTTCTGAGGATATAAAAAAAATATTAGCTTGTAAATCCCATCGCTCTCATTACCTGGAGAGACTCCCTAAAGTTCACAAAAATCAGTGGAGGGAAAAAAGAAGTAGCCCCAGTGTTTAAAAGTTCAGAACGGGTTTGGTTAGTGGGCAATAATTTTGTTACAGCTGACAGCTAGTCAGTCTGCAATTAACACCCAAAACCTTTCTTTGGAAAAAAGCTGAGGAAGAATAAAAACCTATGTGCCATGTTTTGTCCAACAAACACAGATGACCTGGCAGGTTGATTTGAATAGGCACACCTGATGGTCCACAGCTGCAAAACACATTAAGACTCATTTGTTGGGCTAGAAAATGAGCTGGATGCATTTTGCAAAGGTTGACAGCCTGTCGTCCCAGCACAGAGTTATGTTTAAGCTCACTGCTTACCAGTGGCGTATACTCGCTGGCGTTACTCGCGTAGGCTTGCATCTACAGTTAGCAACACAGAGATGCCCTTGCTCGGTAAAAGCATACTTCACTCGTGCCTGGAAAAAATGTACTGTTACATTACCAGGAATAGTGTGACATTATGTGAGTTTGATTTTATCCTTGGCTTTAGCATACCTTCACCCTGGAGTCATTGCTAAGCCACTGCTGCTGAGAGGAAGCAGGCGGAGGTATTCGCCTAAAGACTTCCAGAACTCGCAGCACTAAGAAAACCTTGCAATCTATCACCATGGTCACAATATGGTACACATCCACACAGCTGTAGGTCATCAGTGCATACTGATAGCTGTCTTTGTACAGAATTTGGCTAAATCCTCCAGTCTTTGCGAGCGAAGACGAAGGGCGTGCGCGCTCTTCTGTATGCGAGCGTGTGTTCGAGTGCTTACAGGTGTTTGCGTTCATGCGTGTTTACATGTGAGTTACTGTACTAGTGTCAGCCCAACGGGACGTTAGATCAGAGGAAGGTAAGAGGGCAGGTTGTGGGAAGCTGCCGTTGCTATGGTAACATTCAGGCTGGCCTAAGCTTCATCTCCCTGCCCCTGTGTTTGTTGGAATTGTGGGAAGAGACACGGAAGGAGGGGTGTCCTGAAACCGCAACTGCTTTTAAGAGAATAACAACATCATCAGACAAAAGCTTATAATCTAATCAAACAAATATAGGGAGGACACATAGGGGGAAGAAGACAAAGGAGCACAATGATCTGTGACTCCAGGAGACAAGATACAGTAGGCTAAACAGGAGGATACAACTACACTGTGACAAAGATATAGCATGTACTGTCTAGGCAATATAGTTCTAACAATATAAAAACACTACACTAACATGTTATACAGTATAGATCATTCTAAATATTAACATCACATTTTATTTATTTTATTTTTAGACATTTTAAACAGTTCTAAACAGTTTATTGATGGGGGCAGGCAGGAATTTATAGGGAAAATGGGATATAGGGAGAATAAAAAGTCTGATTTTACCAAACCGCCAAGGATGAAGAAGACCATAAAGAGGCGCCCCAAGGTGGTTCTTGCATAGACATCCCCGTAGCCCACTGTAGACATAGTCACCATCAGCAAGTAGACACATTCCCAATATGATAGTGACTGGGAATTTTGGAAGTTTTCCCAAGGATCCCCTGAGTTTTCCACCTAAAATTGACAAGGGAGTGATGCAGAAGGATCATTAGATACAATTCGCACAACCAATTTGTAAACAGAGTTTTTCTAAAAAGAAACAGTTTCCTGAGATTTGATTAAATCCAGCTGCAAGTGTGCCAGCATTCATCTCACTTTGTGACATCGTCTTCATTTAGTGAGCCTTGACTACCATCTAGTGGTAAAATCATTTAATACCTCACGAGTACGGATTTTCACTTTAAAAGCATCTGGCTTAACTGAAACCAACACTTTGATCAGAATAAAGGGAAGGTGAAGGAGCAGGCAGTTTTATGCTCCATTTTATGTGTTTGTAATATTAAATACCACATCCCTAATTTTGGTTCACAGGAAAGTTCCAAGGGTTAAAAACCCTATTTACAATTTACACGCATCCTACATGTGATCAGTATTAAAATGACATATATGCAGAAATCTAATTTAGTAGAAATGATCTCAGGCAGGAATAAAAGCAAGTCATGCAGCGTGATCACATGAAAAAAATCTGCTTTGTTCAACACAACTACTTTTTCCCGCCACTGGAAGTAAGCCTGATAATAACTACACGAAGTGCAAAAAAGAAAAGAGGAACGCTTCACCTGTCCTGGAATGTGACACGTGTCACCAATTTCTCCATTCAGATGGGATTCATGTGAGAGTTTAGCCGAGATAACAAGAGTAGAGTTCAATAACAGGTCTAAATAATAAATCTGAATACAGATCACATGGAAATTCCAGGCATAAATTTAATATATAAATCTGAGCTGATCTTTCAGAAAATACTGATGATTCACACACATAACATGCTGGTTATTTGCTTTCTGACAGCTAGTTAAAATTTGCCCTACAGAATAAACATAAGATATTTACACAGATAGGGCTTGGCTTTAATATCCCTGATATATTTTATGTACATTAAAGTTAAAGTCACTAAAATGTCTTTAATTATGCTGCCTCCTAAGTTTTAGTGGCACAGCAGATAGTGCCCTATCCACATATGACATCACAGCAATGTTTTAAACTTGGAGAAATTTAATTTTTTACTAGCAAATACCATTAATTTAGGCTCTTTATTCATACTATCAGACTCACTGAAAGTGCTTGGTGTCACACTTGTGTCAGTGAGGTAGTTACAGTTAGTTCACTACAGTATCATTCTTTCTGGAACATTTAACTCTGGATGCCACTGGCCGTCACATCTGTCCACTTACCAAATGTATGAATCCAGCAGCTGTGAGCCATGTGCTTATGAAGATGGAACACAGGTTCACCAGCTTGATGGAATTGCTGCACAGAGTGAAAAAAAAACAAAACTCATTTAAGGCGGCGAGACCAGTGACAGAAAAAAAGAGATTTGTTTTATTCATATATATAACAAAGTTGTTGTTTTTTTACATCTTACAATAGTTGTAAGGAAATCAGGTTGAAATAAAAATGTCAGAATTTTGTTCCCTATTATCTATTGTTTCCTTTTGTTTACTCCAAATCAACCACAGTGTTCATCAAACAATCATGGTAAAAAGAAAGTCCCCAATCTTTCAGTTCAAGGTTTAACGTAATAAAAAATATCATTTAATCCCCACCAGGTTTTAAAATTAGGTCAATGCAACCTCAGATGAAGAACACTTACATTACACTGTGTCGTCATTTATTTCACAAACATCACTGTGCAGAAATTTTGGCCCACTCTTCTTTAAATATTGCTTCAGTTCATTGAGGTTTGGGGAATTTGTTTCTTTTTCAGCCATTCTGTTGCATATTTGCCTCTGTGCTCTGGGATCACCGGCCTGTTGCATAAGCCAGTTTGGGCCAAGTTTTATATGCTGGATAGGTGGCCTCACATTATACTCCAGAATACTTGAGTATACAGATTGCTTAATGTGCCACTCGATGATTGCGAGGTGCCCGGGTCCTGTCCCTGCAACACAAGCCCGAAGCATCAGCTCTCCTCCACTGTGCTGACAGCTGATGTTTGGTTTTCAAATGTGGCACTGTGCATTATGCCCAAACATGTCCATCTTGCTTTCTGCCCAAAACAAGCCACTCTTGTTCAGTCAGTTGCACTGACATGAACCTCAACATTTAGCAGGCTGTAGAGTCTGAGGTGTAGCTTTTTTATTTATTTATTTATTTTTGCTGAGATGTTCACTCCTGGGATGATTGCCAACTGTCTTGAAAGTCTTCTAGCTGTGAATGACCTTCATCCCCGTAGAATACTGGATTACTTCTTTAAGATCATTGCTGATGTCTTGGCATCGAATGCTCCAGACCAGCAAACTGCCAAAATACATGCCTTTATAGAGGTCCTCACACTTGCTGATGATTAAGTTAATGAGTTAATCAAGTACATTTGATTAGCGGCAACTGGTCACCACTTACCTTCTTAATATATATATCGAAGTATTTACCTAATTGTTTATACACCGCTTCTGTATTTTGGCCTAATTTGTGTGAACTATGGTATGGCTATATTATTATGTTATACATAATATATGACTTGTTGTTTATCTGAGAAGATATTTACTAAATTTTAAGAACTGATAAGGACCAGATGATTTGTATTATGTCCTGATAACCAAAGCATATTTATTTAAGACTCTAGGTGATAGGTTGGTCTTAATACTAAAAATTCTGTTGTCAGGGTATGTGTGTGTTTTGTAAATGAAAAAAAGAAAACACTTTTCTTACCTTGTTTTCAAGATATTTAAGAATTGCAAAATCTCTGAGAACTGTATCAGTCTTAGTGCTCTCAGGAATCTTAAACCTGCGTGAACAGAGAAGAACAGAGAAACGTATCAACATGTAACATGCACTGACAGGAGGGAAATGTAGAGACAACACCTGTGCAGACATCGTCCTGAGTTCAAACAACATGAGGTTCTGCATGTTGGCAGATCAGCTAGTGATGCAGCCCACATGTTACCACAGCGTTTAGGCACAGTACAGAGCAACATCATCCAAATCATCAAATGTAGCTTATAACATACAAGAAAACAAAACAAAAATAATACATCAATAAATAAATAAATAGCACATTTTCTGAATAATTATGGTGTCAACCAAGTTAGAAGGAACATTTTAAGCCGTGAGTGTCAGTGCAAAGAGCAGGTCCCTCATGGATTATAGAGCAAAGTGGCAACTGTCTCATTGTCTTTTTATATAACAGGTCCAATCCCATAGAACAAGCATACATGGATTTATGTCAGTGATAAAAATTCCTACTGAAATTATACAATCAGACCCCACAAATATAAGGTTGTCACAGGCACATCAATGATTCTGATGAAGCAATCTCACGTATTACACTTAACCTAAGGCTCTTACCCCAGTTGGAGAGAATGTGTAAACAGGACCAAACAGAATAGTAAAGTCCTGTCTGGCTTCCCTTTTTCTCCTGTCCATGATGGCCCTGCCTCACCCTGTATCCATTCTGAAAAAGATCGCCACAAGACTTCTTTCGCCTCCATGTCTCTTGGAGGGTTTGCAAATTTACATCACTGTGTGTACGACGGTACACAAGCAGTTTAGGAGGAATCATTGTTTCTGGACCAAATCCAGTACTTGGGACTTGACTTCAGGTCAAGGGTCTTCAAGTATTCCTAGTAAAATAACCAAAGAAAAGGCTTTAAAAAGAAAGGCTTCCTTGATAGGACAATGTTGCTTCCGTTGGTGTTAAATCATTGGTCTCCGTGCATTCAGCTGCAGTTGTATAGGTTTTCCATGTCAGTCGCATCAGAGAGTGTCTCTGTGAGCAAAATGTCAGCTCTAATATAATTGTTTTTTTTTCTCATTTTTTGTTACAGTGCCTTTAATCCCCACAACCCAAACAGATTTACCTTTCTCCTGCCCCTTTTAGTGATTTACTACTAACCCCTATAAAGCCACGTCTCCATCAACACAGCTGTGTCAAACCTTTCAAAAAAGTCTGAACCATGCCAGGGATTAACAGAGATGAAAATAAAGCAGAACAAAAACAATAATCCGTACATAAAATGAGAGACCTGTTTTCACAACGAAATTTCAAACAACTCTGTCTGACAGTAAAAAAAAAAAGTAAAAAAACAAAAACAAAACCCATCTCTGTCAGATTAGGACTACAGTTAAGGAATCTACACTTCCATGTAAACATGTATTTAGGGCATAAATTCCTGAAACTTTTTTTTTTTTTTAAACAGACACAAATGAATCCTCCAGCTCCAGGTATTTTAGCAGAATCAAAGGAAAGACTCCCTCTGGAGCTGGAAGCAACAAGACGACATAAAATCCAGATTATATTGTCATGACCCTCAGTAATCACTTTGTATCTATGGCAACTGAAGCTGTGTTTTTCTCATGTTTATGGCCCAGAATGGGACTGAAATCTGAAAGAGAAATCTGATATTGTACTTTTGCAAAAACCTGTTTGTTTGTTTTTTAAACCCAAACAACAACAACAAATTATAAATACACTCACCAGCTCCTTTGTAAAGTACTCTGTGCTAGTACTGGGTTGGACTCGCTTTTCTCTTCATAACTGCCTTAATGCCTCTTGGCACAAATTTAGCAAGGTGCTGGAAAATATTCCTTTTTGAGCCATACTAACATGATAGCATCACACAGTTGAATTTACAGTCATCTGCACAAGATACACATCTTAATTTCCACTAAATCCCAAAGGTGGTCTATTAGACTGAGATCTGGTGACTGCAGAGGCTATTTGAGTACAGTGAACTCACTGCTGTGTTCAAGAAACCTTTGTGACATGGTGCGTTATTCTGCTGGAAGCAGATAAGCAAAAGATGGGTACACCATGATCATAAAGGAATGGCCATGTTCACCAACAATACTCAGATAGACTGTGGTGTTTAAATGATGATCAGTTGCTACTAGCAGGTTTTCTTGACCATGTCTAAATGCACCGAGTTACTGTCATGTCGTGTGGCTGATTAGATGTTTGTGATAAGCAGCTGAACGATTATATCAAACAAAATTGCGTTTCTCCTGTCCATGATGGCTCTGCCTCACCCTGTCATGTCGTGCGGCAACACAGATACATGTATATATAAATAATGCTTTTTAGTATTTTTAGTTTTCTTTAGTTGTAACAACGACCATCTATAAATAATGTCAAGGAATAATAAAACAGTTGAACAAATGTACAATATTAAACTTAATATTAATTAAGAAAAATAAATTAGCAACATAAGTTTAAATTTCATATTTTTTAATGACCACAAATCATGTTTTCATAGACGCTGATATCCTATAAAAAAAAATGTAATACTCCCCTTGGTGTTATGCTGCTTCCTGTTTTTACTCCACTACATGATGGATGCAATTATTGTAGTTTCGGCTCCACCCCATTTATTTTAAAGCTTTAGATGTGTATTATTTCGCTGATATATCAAGAAATCTAGCCATATATGGTGTAACAACAGGTCAACAACAGCTGCAACATTAAATGTATGAATCAATAAATTCACAAGTATTATACTATGATATCATTTATACAGATGATTCTTGAAAGTTTTACATCAACTACTTTAAATATGTTTTGTTTATATCATTGTTAGCCTACTTAAGTAGTATTCTAATTTTACTTTAGTATAAAAAAAAATCCAACTGATGGTGTGGATCGTAATTCATACTGCACACATGTAATCCTAACTGACCTCACTGTGTTTTGCCTTTTCGCATTGGCTTTGGATGCAGTGATTCACACCTGTTTAACAATAACAAACAAAATTGTACATAAAAACAAATGACTACGCTCCACAAACTGAAACTGTATATTTGTTCGACTGGCAAAGACAGAAATGCTGTGTTGCACTTACAACACAAAACATAGCAGCCAGCTTTTTGACATAAAACTGATGTGACAACATCAACAAATACTTCGCAAATTTGGCGTTCAGATTGCAAATATCAGACATGCCACCAAACACACAGTGATGCTGCGATGCAGGTGGCTGCAGAACACATTTTTCTCAATTAGTGTGAAGCATCTGTGTTTGTGTTATGCTGTACATCTGTGCGTGTGGTATTTTGTCTTGCGTTTAACACTTTGTGAGACTTTGTGGAGAAATATCTGTTCACGCTATCACATCTGAGACTTCACCTACACTGAGTGAGAGCAAGAAAAACAGCCCCACAAAGGCCTACAACAATTATAACACACAATAATTTATTTTCTATAAAAAAAAAAAAGTGTATTATGTAAAAATCATGTTAAAAAAAAACCAAAAAAAAACCTCAATGAAATTCTCTTGCTGTGTTCATGTATGAGAAAATCTCTTTCCCGCTCATGCCAAAGCCTCTTGCACACATGTGTCAGCTTGCCAGATGCTCATTCAAAAAAAAAAAAAAAAGGTTTTCTGTTCTGTGCCCGCTCTTACTTTAATTGAGGCTTTGCAAGCCCAAGCACTGCCTCTGTGTCACATGTCCTGGACGGGCAGCTTTCTGGGGCTTTTTATCAATCGGCAGGCTGGAGCAGTTCATCTGGGATAACACTGACAGTAAACCAAGCCAGGATTAGATTATATGATGCTACGCTAATCTAAACACACAGATCCTCAGCAAGTGTACACAGCACCGACTCTTCCTGCTCATTCATGGAGGATAAACAGTCCATATTTATCAATACATACAAAAAAATGTTCAAACTGCAACACACGAGAAGCTGGCTATACCAAAGAGGCTTAAACTTCCCTCGAAACAGTTTCCCTTCCCTACCATGGGCTGAAGGGCCATATAAAGCGATCATGCCCATATCAGGTACTGTAAGCCTCTTTCAGCAGGAAACCAACAAACTAACCCACCACTAGGAGGCAGTAGCATGTCAGAATATAAGGCATGTCTGAAGGCTACAAACTACTGCACATTCTTCAGGCCAGTGAAGCTTCAATAACATTAGATTTACACCATTTCTTACTGGCTATCCAAAAACAACACACTTTAATCAAATACAATGAAATAGAAATAAAATAGACTTTGCAGTTGTCTTTAGGTATTTTCATGATGCCATTTGTCTTTAAAAAATTGTTTTATTCCTTAAATATTTAAAACTGGGAAGGTAGTCCTCTGTAATGGCTGTGGTGGAAAGGCATGGAGTTAACTTACAGGGTGTGAAAGCTAAGGCTCAGTAGCCACAAGATCTATGAGCATCTTTCAAACGGCAAATCCCACACTGTCAGGACTCTTGGGAGAAATGTTAAGTTCAAGTAGTTAAAGGAGATTAATTCCTTCTTCCAAGGAAGAACTCTACATGCACTCTTACATTAGCCTCACATCATTCTCCTCCCCTTAATCAATGTCCAATTTGCAAAGCCAAAGAGAACATGACTTAAAATGTGCACAGCGTATACAGGCACTGCCTTGTGTGCAAAGTGGGTGAATACTCTACCACAGAGCACAGGGCAGAGCCCTTATTAGTGGGCTTTTTATTAACCGGGCACACCTCCACTGAATTTCCACTGGTCTTCTCCAGGACTGAAACGAGAGGTAGTATAATTGTGATATATTATGCTGGCTGGTGTGTGGTGTGTATTCCCTACCAGCTAATTGAAGTGAAGATGAACCAATCCAAGGGGATTGAAGAGCACAATACGCACTCTTAACAGCCACCATGGCTTCTAACAAAGCCTGCGTTAAGGAACAGTATGGACACTTAACTAAATGAAAGTAACAGCAGTTGTGCATTAGCTCGTTTTGGCCCTGTTAAGCTGTCTGATGGAAGTGAACAACCACATACACAGCTAAAGCAAAACGGGCAATTTCATTTATTTAACAGTGAATTGCAAAGGTCACCATCAGAAAGCAGATCAGGTTCTGACTGATACCGTTTAATTGTGCTTATTTTCCTCCCACCACAGAGTTCCATATTAACTCCCTTATTAATACAGGATATAAGCAGTTAATAATGACTGCTATTCTCAGGTTCTCGACCTGAATATGAAGACACTTTCAGCACATGATTGGTATTCTAAAATCGACCGTCACATCCTACTGCAGATCGACGCTCTGTTAATTTTATAACATGGGCTTCGCAGCACTTTATGTTGCTATTAAACACAACGCCCGGTAAAAATAAACCCATCCCAACGCATGACAGAGGGTTTTCTGTTCTTTTACTGTGCTGCTGTTAGACAAGTCCAGCACTAAAATAAAAAATGTCTTCGTTTTTATGAGGTGGAGATGCCACCTCTCGTGTCACCACTGTGAAACTGAAACGCACTGAGTCTCCCCATTTAAAAATAATGAAGAGCCCTGGAATCTAGGGCATCTCTAAATAAAAAAAACATTATAGGCACATTTTGTTTAAGGATAACAGCTCGCAGTGAAGCTGGATTATATGTTAAGGTGTTGTTCTTTCCTGCATCAGGTCTACATGCAGGATATTTAATAATCATTACAGAACATCAGCCAGCAGCCAGACCACTATTTCACAATCTTTCATCATCCTCATCAAGGGCCTAACGCCAACAGTCTTCTGGGGAGGAGATGAGGACACCTTGCATCATGAAACCAGACTACTTGGCTTGGCCACGTCTAATTCATTACACAGCTTGTTCCGTGTGAAATTCGCGAACCACTCTGCGCTTCTTAAGAAACCTTCATCAACTCAGAGATCAAACATTCACAGCCTCACATTACTTCACAGAGTCAGTGATTCTGGCGGGCATGTAAAAAAAAAAAACCTGAGGAAAACCAGCATTATCGAGTGATTCCTCGTGTTTCTTCTCAAATTTAACAAAAACCTTGCCAATGGCAATATCGATTGCTCTACTCTTTTAAAAGTCAGTGAAATCCTTAAAAATGTAGCAGTGAACACCAAGAGCACCCTGAAACGGTCACATTTAATTAATTGTAGTACTTGAGCACTCCTACTGTTACTGATAAAGAGTGTTGGAGACAAACTCGACAAAAATGGCAATTTGAAGGAAGGATAAATGTCAGTATTAGTGTGACTACTGCATTAACATTGTCGCTCAGCAATTTTTGTATTCCAGTGACACAATAAGACCAACACTGGAATAGTGTCGGCACGAACGAGCTTCTTTTTTGATGTTTTTAAAAGCAGAGAGGCAGAGCATCCAAAAAAGAACACACCTACAAAGAACTGCAATGTAATTTAGGTCACATCATCTAAACACGGTGGAAAAAAAAATAGGTCGTTATGTAATGCAGGTTAGGGTATTTTCCAGTCTGCTCATGCGAAAGTGTGTATAAGTGTGTATGGGGATATCACATGCTTTTACATGTGCATTTTTTTGTTCGCATGGATGTGAATGAGTCTAATAGATGGTACAGCACTGAGAGGTACCCCAGGTGCAACGCCTCGACGGACCAAATACTAATGAATGTGAAGCACAAACATGGAGAGTCACCGAGCCACAGCCCTACTCTGAGTCACTTTCACTCCCATTAGTTGATCCACTCTGCTGTGTCTGTGTTCCCTGAAACATCAGAGGAACCCAGCCCTGTCACTTTCAATGACGAGGGAACATTGACTGTAGCCGCAAGCAAGAGAGCCTCCGAGACTTGCTCCCAGTGATGGGGAGACGGTGGGAGTGATAGGAGGAGATAAAAGGAAGGTGGCATTCAATGACAGAGGGCAAAAAGGAATAGAAAGACACAAATGTGAGGATGAAAATTATTAAAAATAAGCGCAAAGGAAAAGCAATAGGGTCGATAGAGTGAGAGCTATAAGTTTAAGTTTATGGATATGGAAACTTACCAAGCCAGCTTCTGTTTAAGTAGACAGACACGAACACAGGAGGAACAGTGAAGAAGTCAACCACTGAGTTGACCTCCAGCCAGAACCACAGCTTGTCATTGGCTGCTATAAACTGTCAAAAAGAAAAAAGGTGACAACTGAAGGTTAATTTTGCACAAAACATCCTGACTTTGCCACAGCCCGCTCTTCAAACTGCTGTGTCTTCTTTTGACAATGCTGACTTATTATACACAATGACAAAAGCTTCACCCTACTTGCTGAGTCATGCAGTAATGGTTGTTGGTGTAAGCAGCTTATGAGTTTGTTTGTTTTTTTCATTCATTCAGGATGTCAAGCATCTGGATAGCATTTGCGCCATCGGAATTCTGCTCTTGCATGACAGCCATGCTGGGAACATCGTTACAGCAATGTCAGCTTAAACTAAAGGTACGCTGTTTGAGTAATGGGTGACTAAGGTAAAAGTCTGCACATGCATGTCAGTTGTCCAAAAGATTACTGTGTCTCAAAGTAACTGTTTTTTATGCCATCATAAAAATAAAATCAATAAAAAGCAGTAAATGAATGAAGTCAGATGCATTAAAGAGCCTTTTTGAAGATAAAACAACAGCTATATGGCTGTATTTTGTAGTACATCCATGTGCACAGCATATGCATGTAAAAAATGGGTGTGTGCATGCACCAGCTTACCCGCAGGCCAAAGTAAAGAAGGAAGAATACGTTGAAGGCCATATCAATCTGTAACGTGAAATCTTTGTAGAAGTTCTGGCAGGATTCTATAGGACTAGAGACAGAGAGAATTATCAGTTAACAGCAATTATCAGTCAGTAAATGTGAAATAATTTGATCAAAATATGGAGTTATAACCACTGTAATAAAACTGAAATCTCCCGTAATACTGAGCTCAATGCAATGATGGTGTTTTACGTCGACTGAGTCCGAGGAGTGAGTGGGAGGGGCGGGTCATAGAGCAAGATGAAAGACTTATGGCTCTAGCTTAGCTGTAGAGTCAATCGCATCTAGATGAAACGGCCGAAAATATACTGAAAGTGGAGTTTGCTTTGATGTGACAGTACTTTCAACACGCATAAATTATTCCGCGTCTGTCACACACAAATGTTCCAAAAGATAGTCCCTCATTTGAAGAGAATGTGTGGAGACTGCAATCACTGGGCTGGTGATACTCTTCAAAAAGGCAGATGATGATAAATGAGTTATTAACTGTCTGGTCTGTCATATGATCCATTTTCTTATTTACCGCGTGATGATTAACCATTAGCGAGTTGGTGCTCGCAACAAAAGCAATAACAGGCTCTGTGCCCACCCCATTCTTCACTTGGTCATGGGCCTATAGTATTTTGCTCTTGAGTAATGAGGAAATCCCACTGTGGGGATAAGCATGAATATGCATTACGGTGTGGCTGACTATAGGCGACCTTTTGGGAATGTATAGAGCGGTGAGGGAAGACACACTGGGCTATTACCACAGCACACAGTTCAAAGTCAAGTTAAATGTTTAAGTCTACATGTGTATGTAGGGGGCCCATGGGGATGCAGTGTATGAATCAGAATGGAGTTTACCACATAATGAGACCCCCAAAGGTAATGATTAGTGAAACTTAATCATCTTCCAGTTAACATCAGACCCTTGATCACATGATGCTTTTTTTTTATAATGGCTGACTAAGTAGAGAAGGAAGATTGCTCGAAGAGGATGATCCAACTTCTAATATGTGGCCTTGTTGGGCATATCCTAAAGACTGATGTGATCTTTTAGACACTGATGCTGAGTGCCAGGATGATATGGATTAGTCTAATTTATTCAGCAACTGTTTAAAAATCTAATCCTTGGAGCTAAAGTAATGGACCACCAGAAGTATCTCAAATTGAAGCAGCTCACAGATAATAAGTAAATAATAAGTATTTGGCATCCAAAATATTCATCCGCAAATCTTCTAACATCTACACAGTGAAACTCGCACAATGATTTAGAAGTTCAACCTTAGCTAATGTTTGCAGACCTACACGCAAGTCAGTGTGTTAACAAAGCACATATGATCATAAGCACACATTTATACACATGCAGATGGTGCATACTGAAGACACCATTTGGAGCGGTCACTGTGGAGTTTTCCCTTGGGCCCAGCTCTGGCCTAATTCTGAATAACCACTAAAGTCATGTGACTGACTCTTGACAATACAGAGAAAGCATGGCAGCAGCAGCAGGGCTCGTGTGGTTCACTGAATCTGCCGTCTATTCGCTTTAGAAAAACAACACAATGGTTACACAGAGAGCTCGTGTTTAGTCATTTTATAATCATCATTGGAAAGCAAAGCTCATCATTAACTAAAGTAGGGGGAAGACACAGTGAGATGATTTCATCAGTACAACATGGGTACAGTCCAATTATAGAGCGGCTGAATTTTAAACTCCATATTACGGCAATGTGAACAACAAAGGAAGAAAAACAAGAACAGACAGGTGACTTTTTTCAAGTCCACTGTTTTTTCCACCTTCTCCCTGCATTAGTTTTGCCAACCTTGGCTGTTCTTTTGTGGACATTTTTAAAAGCACAAATAAAAATGAAGCCACACTCCTAATACAGGTGTGCTAATAAATGGATTCGATGTACTGCAGTCATAGAGTTGAGTGCCATCACACGCGTACAAAGAGTTATCTTTTGTCTGTTAACATTAAAGCAACATTTTTTCAAATAATGTATTCCTTTAATTTAATCTAAAGCTGCACTAAATGCAGCAGAAAGCAGTTCCCAGCCAAAAAAAAAAGCTGACTGTGCACTACAGTACCTGAGCCTCACAGAAAGATACACAAAGCAGGAACTACTTGACAAACTAAGTGGAACATTTAGAAGCTAAAAGGCCAGAGAGACTGTTTTATATTGTGAGGCCAGGTTTAATATTCAGACGATGTTAAGTAGAAATATTTTTTCCAGAATTCTGCTAGAAAAATGTTATTTATTGAAACATGCAAATATACATGCAAATATCTCTTTTATGACCGTCTGCTGCCTTTTGTTCTGCTTTCTGTCAAGATGATCCCACACTGCCTCAATAATGTTGGGGTCCAGACTCTAGGGAGGCCAATCCATGACTGATAGTGTTCAATTTTGTGTTTTTCTCTCCAACTATGCTTTTACTGGATTGGCAGTGTGTTTGGGATCAATGTCATGCTGAAAAATGAATTGGATGCTGTCTGCATTCATAGTTACATGCATTTTGTCAACACCACTGGATGAAATCTTACTGTTTTTTTTAGTTTTTTTTTTTTAGGCCCGATATTTTGTCTTCCACTTTTCCAGTTTCCTCAGTTTTGTTGTAACTGCACACTGAGCACAATAGTGAGATAGCTGAGCTAATAGCTCTTTAGAAATCATCTTACTTGTACCAAAATACTATTGTACGCCTTTCAAACTGTGTTTTCTTTATACATTCAAGTAAAGAGATGGGAATATATTATGTGTTTTTGCGACTGGCTACTAGTAACAAAGCATGGAGACCATGTTAAAAATTACAAGAAAGTATGAAAGGAAATGGAAAGAAATTACGGCTGACCCAAGAATTTAGCACAGTATGTATTATACATAAACAAGCAATTCGTTTGTATTACAATTCTCTGTCTATCCGTCAACCATAGAAAACAAGAATTTACACAAGACAGATTTTGCGAGAAAAAGATGGCATTACTATTCAGTTTACTCCTGCTAAAATTGGATTTAAGGAACTCAGTAGGTCCTTGGCACAGAAACAGATGCCAGGTCATTATATTCCTACTGGGTGTAGCTCAGGAGGTATAGAGCAGGTCAACTACTGATCAAAAGTTTAGCGGTTCGATCTCTGGCTCCCCTAGTCTGTATGCCAAGTATCCTTGGGTAAGATACTAACCCCAAGTTGCTCTCAGATGCATCCATCGGAGGATGAATGCATGTGAATGTTAGCTAAAAAGCACTGAAAAGCATAGAAAAAAGTGCTGGTGTGAATGGGTGAATGTGGCATGTCGTATAAAGTGCTTTGAGTGTTCCATGAGGGCAGAAAAACGCTATATAAGAGTCCATTTACCATTTACTGATTCTGATGAGTGAACTCTGAGACACCCCTCCTCAAACTGACCCCTTGCAATTCAACAAAAATTTCTTCAGACATGGCATTTTTAAGTTAGGGGATTTATAAAGGATAACCTAAGGCAAAATTCATTCATAGCATATAATCCTAAGTAAGAGAGCAGTGGGCGACACCTGAGAACAAGCTCCAAGTTACTGTGCCTTGATCAAGAAAAATTAACCCAGCAAGTTTCTTCCTGTGACAGAAGGAAACCAATGAAAGCCTGGAGACAACATGTAAACTTTAAAAGTTGACATTACTGTCACGTTAACACTTTTAGTCACACATACAATCAGAACTGCTCCCAACAAACAGATGTTTACATCTGCGCTGTAACTGCAATAATTTAATCAACCGATTTGCACTACAACCTGGTTTGCCTCTTATCTGTAGTTAATTTTATTTAATTTTAATAACTGTACAGTACTCTGTTTATAGTAACCATTGTCCTTAATGTAAATATGTAAGAAAAATTGTGTATGTTTCTGTTCTGTGTCCTGTTTACCGTTTGTTGTATATGTGTCTTTCTGGCTGCTGTTACAACCAAATTTCCCCTTGTGGGACAATTAAAGGATTATTCTATTCTCTCTATTCTTCTATTCTACATCTCCAAAAGTTGATTCTGTTCATCTGGACGTAGCGTTTTGTTGGAGAAACGTTTCGTCACTCATCCAAGTGACTTCTTGGATGAGTGTTTTAGTCACACAGCTCAAAAGTAGTCATGAAATAGTTAATGAAGCCTTAAAGTTAAATGTTAAGGACAAAAGCAAATAATTAGCAACAACTGTGGCCTGACAAAACTCAATTCAAAATCCCTTAAAAATGGGTTCATACTTGAGAATTCTGCAGCCATGTCAAGGTGCCACTGCATGTGCCTTCGTCAACGTCACATGTTATCAATTTGTCATAGGATAAAAGTGGGTTGCCCATGAATTCACTCATTATTGACCTGAACAACTATTCAAAAAGATGATAAGCCTTTTAATTCTGTTATGCATTGCCCAGCAATAGGATGGGCGCTTCTGTTATTGAACCCCACTATCTGTGTCACCATCCCACACAAAGAGTGTGTAAGACAAGACAAAATCCAGATTCCTGCTTTCAATGTCATTTCACACTCTGCAATCACAAGGGATTCCTGGCCACATGCTGCCAGTGTCCTGCAGAAAATAGATCTGCCCACCACAGGTCTTATTACTCCTTAAGCTCTGCCACAGCCTGGGGTTACACCATCGTGCCTGACAGGAAGAGGAGACGAGAGAGAGACGGAGCAAGAGGAGGGAGCAGGAGTGGTGGGAGAGAAAGAAAGACAGCAGCAAGACATGTAGAGATTAGACAAGGAGAGAAGAAAGGTTGTGACATAAGAGGGAGAAGAGCCGAAGATGTAAAAGTGACAGCGGAAAAACTCTTCATCTCCAACCCCACTGTGCTTATTACCTAAACTAGGACTAGATATGCACATGTATACACACGCAGAATAACAATTAGGGGCAAAATCTCGCAGGATATTAAAGGTAGAAGCATCAAAATCCTCTGATCCCCACCTAACCCACCGCAACATGGGCCAGACAGGCAAAAAGTCATTTGCGTCTCAAGGGCAACAGAGTATGTTGATGATGATGATCTAAAAATAGTCCCGAACACCTTCAGTCCGTCAGCAGGACC